CCCCCCCCCCCCCCCTCCAATGTTGTTCGCGTTATTTACCACATCCTTTAAGTTCTTAACTGTTCTTTATCCCAAAAGAAGGCAAAATGATAAAATAAATACTTCGTATATATGCTCTGAAAAAACGTTTCATTTTCGTCAGGTACTTGGGTGATGACCAACGTCTACGCTTTACATCTTAACCCACACGTGTGGAGAGACCCTAAGGTTTGTGTTTTTGAATTAGCTTCCTATTGACAGATTATCATCAAAAAGTGATTGCTGGTAGATGTTCTTCATTAATTTGCGCCGGATTATAAGTGACGCCAACAGAAATTAGAATTTTTCTTTCGGTATTTGGTGGAGAATTTTAACTTTAACATACACTTATCAAATATTCTTGTCCCTTTTACTATAAATGTTAAATTCCTTTGGTTTCCGATTTAAAACAGAAGTTCGACCCACTGCGCTTCACGACTGAAAACGCTAAAGAAATGTCACCATATGCCTTCATACCGTTTTCGGCTGGTCCAAGGTAAATATCGGGACTGGTATGTGACTGATGTTGGTGTAATTTACTGGTATTGCACGGTTGGTGTGACGCTCCTGATTATGTTTTATTTAAAGCTTAGTATCTAAGTTCTAATTCCGGATTGCATTCTTAGGTTCCAGAATCGAGCTGAAACACGGGTTCACAAACTGGGAACCCATACTTGTTCCATTACCTTCCAGTCCTGAGAAACGCTTAATTAATGCACTGCAAGTTTTCCCACGCTTGCGTGTAGCATGTGTTTTCTTGCACTTAATATTGCACTACGTGTTTTCCCGTGCTTGACTGTGCGTTACAAATTTTCCCGCGCTAAGCATTGCGTAGTACAATTTCCCGCGCTTAAACTGCGTTGCATGTTTCCCGCACTTTACAATGCGTTACAAGTTATCTAAATTCGACACTCAACCACGCACAGTATTTTGCCGAGCTTTACTCTGAAATGCAACAGTTTTCTCCTTAAACTTTTTATGTCACCCAGCCATATTTTTATGTCAGTGAAAATTATTCTCGTGTTAAACAGGAACTGCATTGGACAAAGCTTTGCCTTGACGGAAGTCAAACTGTCTTTGGCTATGATCATACGCAAGTTAGTGAAGTTTATATTTTTAGGAATAAACACTTAATTATTATTAGTTTGCTTACTCGTCATTTCATGCTTTTGTCATTTGGCAAATATTATATTCAAGTATTTAAAGTATTTATGTACTTTTTTTTTCTTCTTTTTTTATTTCAATTTGTATGTATTGATATAACAAATTGTTTTTTTTTATATTATTTTTATAGGTTCAAGTTATCTGTCAATCCTGACAATTACGTGCCAATCGAAGACATGATTCCTGAGCTAATTTTGCGAGCTAAGAATGGGATAAAAGTCAATATTGCCCCACGAGCTTAAAGAAAACACCCACACACACACACACCACATTATAGCATTCGCTATAACTTATGATCATTAGATTTACTTGCAAGATTTCAGCGAAAGGGTTCTTTATACAACTACTACATTTGCTGTCAAGTGTTCTATATAAACATGTTTCGCAAAACCGTTGCAAATAGTCAAATGAGTGCCGTAAATGCTGATTACGGATATAGTAAGTAGATGTACAACGAGGTTTCACGCATTTTAAACCAAAATAAAATATCTCCATGGTCGAAAAAAAGGGTGACTAATTAATTGATTAATTTAAGATTGCGCGGTGGACTGGAAAGTTTTCTGAAGTTTTAAGATTTCATATGAAAGAGCTAAAAACAATTGACTCATAAAAGCAGCTGAAAACGGTTTTCCTGATTATCCTGGAAAGGATATGGAATGCGGTCTCTTGGTTGGTGCCCTGACAATTGGCTACTTTTTCCTATAAAATGTTCTGTCTATTAATACTCTTCATCATTAGCTGAACTATTCAAGATAAAAGAGACTCCCTAGTATATGATCAGCGAACTGTTACGGGTGCAAAGAATGGAAGGTGCAGACGACATTGTCTTTCACAGTTATTCCAGATATATGCCGTAAATTGTAGCCACAACAAACAGGGAGCCATTTTGAAACGAGGCCGTTGCGCATCTATCAAATCTTTCATCCAACAGACAGCGGCTGGTGATGCTCATTCCCTGACTTTGCTTCGATCCCAAATAAACCAAGCAAACAAACTTGAACCTGTTACAACCAAGCTCCGCTTTAACTTTATCTTTCAGTTCCTCACTCGCCTTCAACGCTAACTGTCGACATCTTTCTCGTTCGTATTTCATTCCATCGAATGTTCCATGCAAAATGTCCTCGGCCAGCTTACGGACTCTTTCGGAATTAAACGATGTGTCAGGCTTCATTTTAAATGAGTTTTCTAAACCCGGCGCGCTCAGTTTGAAGTTTTCTCCCTCCAATGAAAACAGAATAGAAGATTCTTGACTTGCTAAAGTCGACTGACGTTGATTGTTCCCTGTTTTCTTCAACACTCCTCGGGGTAGACCTGTCGAGTATCCTTCCAAAGAAGCGCTATTAACAGAGCTTGTCATTACTTTAATTGATTAGACAGTCTCGACTCCTGTACTTGTACAGCTTAAGACTTCAAACTTCTCAAAGAATTAACTGTATTTGTTTTCTGGCGACATGGAGTGAGAAATTTCTGTTCGCATTTCTACAAAATCGTATACGAAAAGTTTACGTGACTAAACAGTTTTATTTTACCATAACCGTTCAGTCTTTGTTCCGGTCTGTTTATCTTTTAATTTTCAGTGATTCACTTTAGGAGAAAAAACCTTAATACGATTGTCCGATCGTTTAACATCTATAATCGATTGGAATGAAGATTCTCCATACTAAACACCTCACATTTTCTTTTAGGAAACTTAGGAGTCTTGAAAATTTGAACCTTATCGTTCGCTGATGATTTATCATAGATTTTTTTCAAGCTTAGTTCCTTTCAAACCATTAATGTTACCAGAAGAAATCATAATTTGATCGATATCGCGGTGAGTTTTCATTAATCCACTATTCAGGATTAATATCTTCTTCAGAAAAAGCGTCATTAAGGAAGATTAGCCCCGACTTCGTAAATGCCTTTCTAAACAAAGCCCTTAAGCTTTACTTCCGTTGAGACTAAAGAATTTGCTAACTTTTTTTAAGTATATAAACCATAGACAAACTTAAGGCCTAATGTAAAGTCTGGTATCATTGTAATCCTTTGTATCTTAATTCCACCAAAACAAAACCACTCTAGAGAATGTTTGCAGTAACTATAGTTACCAATTAGAATTAATTCAACCGCGTCAAGGTAAAAGTTGTTGTAGACAATTGATCAGTGAAAAAAGGGGGAAAGCGCATGCGTGTTGTTCAAAGTACCCACAATATGGTTAACCAAAGTTACTGGTAATGATTTTCGTTTCTGAGTGAGATCCAAGGTTTTACAGGCAGTTAATCATTGCAGTGAAAAGAAGTGGCAAAGTTCATTTTGATTACAGAAGCAGTCACGACGCAAGTTCCCACTCTACTAGGAAAGCAATGATAAACCTCGAGCTTGATTGTTAAGAAGAGTTTCGTCTCAAATAGATGCGTTCATCATCCTACAAACGCGTTCTGACGGTTTCCGCTTAACTGTAGCGCAGATCACATTTCACTAAAAAAGAAGATTGTCTTCTTACGTTCAGAGCGAAATAGCAGAATCTGATAGAATCATAAGCGACTTCCATGTAAATTTTCACTAAAAAGGGTCGTTGAAAGAACTCCAAATAATGTAATCTGGGTTGTCTTTTAATTCCGCGCTCGACGAAACTGTTTCCTTATTCAATGTTGGAAATAAATGTGACAGGAGCGACCAGGAGGGAGAGTGAAAACTGATTTTTTTTTCCTCTGAGGGTGAAAAGATTACACTTTTCCCTTTTCTTACCCTATACCTGCTTTCTCTGATCCTGTCCCTCAGAACACAGTTTAAAAACAGTCTCCATTTTGTATTAGGAGTAAAAAGTGTCACGTATCACGTGATCGACGTCTTGTGTGTTCGTGTCAGCGGGTTTCCCTTTCAAGAACTTGATGCAATCACCAGAAAATTTCTTTATCTTTCTACAAATCTTCAACAACACGAGGGCAATCTCTTAACGACTATTCACAATTTCGTTGTACGAAGAGTTATCACTGTTTAATACAAGCAAAACATACTTTCTAGTCTTACAAGTTTAGCCAACAGTTAAAATAGTCATAACTCTGATCTTCACTATCATACTTAGTAGGCATTCTTTTAATGTTTTGGCAGTATCATTTCTGGTTTATAACTCAATCCCACTAAGAAGATATCAGTTGGGATTAGGTGATGATCTATACTGTTGGAAAGGATTGTGTGACAATCAGGTGGGGAAATTGTGTGACAATTATTGGAATGGAGAGCTTTGCAGGCCAAAAGAGATACTTTATGGGAGGTTCCACCTAAACAGGTGGTAGTCCAGTTATTAACAGAACCACTGCCAACCCCTCTTTCCCCGTTTGATTAAAACAGGTTTCCTTAATATTTTCCTCAGTACTTTGGGAGGAGAAAGGCAAAGAAAGAAGTATGCTCTGAAATCAGTAAAATACTATGACATGATCTTAGTTAGTACTTTCCCTGTTTAATGCTCAATCAATGTCCTTCTACATAGAACGATGTTCAGAAAGGAGGACAGGATACCAGCATACTTTTCCTTGTGCCTCTCATTAGCAACTGCATTCCTTGAACAAATTTATTAACATCTAAGTGACCATTTTAAAACAGAAATGGAATCAGAGCTTTCCGATTTGCAGGATAATCAGGAAATTGCTCCTTATACCATCTGTGGTTATGCCTAGATCGTGGCACTAATGTTGCACTAGAAAACAAAAACCACACGGTACCTGCCACTGACCATGTTCCCAAAGCCCAGCCAAACCATTCAAGCATTTCTCCAAAATAGTTTGGACAAGAAATCTTGTGAAACAAACATCCGTTAGGTATGGAATACCCAGAACTGCTGTTTGCTCTAAGCTTGCGAAGTGATAAGTCTGCATAGCGGTTAATGATATATCCTGTGACAAACATTATAACACCAATGATAAACCGTGGGTCTTTATAGTAGTCAGAGTCAAAAGAAGCAGCACCTATCCAATCAGCATTAAGAAAACTGTAGAGAAGGTTAGGGAAAAGCCCTCCTAATGGTATACCCAAAGGGGTCTTTGGACTGCTGTATTTCATGATCCATGGGTGAATAATTCCTCGGTGTACATAATGACAAAGCCATAAACAGTAAAATGTTATATTGGTGTATTCTGTGTGAGTCCCATAAAGAAAAAATACAAGTGAAAACAGAAGTACACCAGGAATGGCATCTGATATTGTGTGTGCAAGTCTTTGATGAACCATTGGCCCAAATGATTGGTTAGATTTCTGGTGTCTTCCGTAAGGTGCTGGTTTTGTAGCTTGAGCTATAAATGTGATTACTGCCAAAAGAAAACCAAATGCACAGAGACCATAGTGAACCCAAAAGTGTGTTTTGTCGTCTTCAAAGGTCGTCCATGGTAATGCATTCAGCATTGTTCATATAAAACGCTTCAAAGGCCTAAATTGAATTAATTTATAAAAGATCGTTAGCATGCCTTCTTTATTAGAGTCATACATTTTCCCCCAAAGTTCCTCGGTATTTTTCCCTTCAATTTACAGAAAACATCTATTAATTAGATCCTCTAAGCTAAAAATATCTAGTACCTGTTGCCATTTCAGTTCAGTGGAATGTTTATGCAAAATTTCCGCAATCACTGTTCGATCAATTGATCCCAAAACTTCACAGCATTTTCTCGACTTACGAATAAAAGAAGACAGCAAGGCACACCTGAAAAAGCCAGGTTAGTAGAGAAAGTAGAGATATTCACCTTACCTTTAGGTGGCTTGAAATATTAAGTTTTACCAAAATAAGATAGTTGTTCGATTATTGCTCAAACTAACTAGTACCCAAGCCACTAGAAAACAACAACCAACCTCGGTTGGGTGACTTGGGGTTCATTATGGATTATACAGCCATCTTTGAATCCGGCATACGTTCCACAACACCCACAAGCTCATTTAGCTGACAAAATTTTTTTCTTTCACTTTTTTTCTGTGTTCAGTCAATTTATTCACTACAAAAAGAACGACAATCATTGTTTTATTCTTTGTAAATAAACTACTTCTTCCAATATCACCTGGACCCCTCAGCTGGATTTGGTTGAAAACAAAGACAAATGTAACCCAATTTCTTACTCTAAGCTTCCCAATGGGCCAAAAGGCACAATTTGGGGGGGTGAGGGGGCACTATACAGAAAGGATATGAAAGCAAAGCATGAAAGAACATTGTTGATATGCTTGGCTAGCTTTATAGACTAAGGTAAAAAAAATTCTAATCAGCAGGTTCTAAGTCAGGCAGTTCTGGCTCCTTTGAAAAAAACATATTAATTTCAAGTTTATGGGAGTCAAATGGTTACTATCCTCAAAACCTTTTGCTGAAAGTTTTCAAACTTATCTTTAATGAAAGCTAAACTTGTCCAAGAAAGACAGTAGCAAACCTAGATCTGGTGTCTAGGCCTTTCTCCAGAGGTTAAGTAATTTTGCAGAGTGTCAAGTCATCCTTTATTGTTGTTACCACTAAGTCCACAAACTTATTTACTGGAGGGTGTCATCCTTCTGATGGCAAATTTCTCTTTTAGTAACATTCAGGGAAACATTGAGCAATTCTGAGATAAACTGTGTATCATATCTTAAGAATTTAAGAAAAAAAGGAGCATATAGAATTTTAATTTTTTTGCTTTTTTATTGTTTCTACTACAACTGTTACACAATAGCAATCAAATTTGTTCTGAATAATATTGACTGATATTAACATCAGTAAGGTTCAATACAAAAAGGGAATCAAAGCCTTTCGATTCTTAGGATAATCAGCAAACTTCTTTGTATACCATTCATGGTTGTCTCTGGCTCTTGGTATGAATGTGGCACTGGAAAACAACAACCAAACTACACCAGCTACAGACCATGTTGCTAATGCCCAGCCAAACCACTCAAGCATCTCACCAAAATAATTTGGACAGGAAATCAGGTCAAACAAGAATCCATGAGGTACATAGTATTTGGAACTATCTTCAGCTCTTAGTCTACGAAGTAACAAGTCTGCATAGCGGTTAATAAAATATCCTGCGACAAAAAACATGACACCCATGACAAAACATGGGTCTTTGTAGTAATACAAACCATAGTCTGCAGTACCGATCCAATCAGCATTAAGGAAACTGTACAGAAGGTTAGGAAACAGTGCCCCCAAGGATATACCAACAGGGGTCTTTGGACTACTGTATCGCATGATCCAGGGGTGGATAATTCCACGATGTAGGTAATGAGAGAGCCATATACAGTAAAATAACAAGTTGGTGGTTTCCTTCTTAATTCCATAGTGAAAAAATACAAGTGAAAACAGAAAGATTCCTGGGATAGCATCTGATACAGTGTGTGCAAGTCTTTGATGAACCAATGGGCCAAATGAATGGTTAGTTGTCTGATGTTTTCCATAAGGAGCTGGCTTCGCAGCCTGTGTTACATAGGTAATCACTGCCAGCAGAAAACCAAACGTGCAGAGACCATAGTGTACCCAGAAGTGGGTTGTTCCATAATCAAACGCTTTCCATGATGGATTAAGACTCAGCATTGTTTGTACTGATGACCTGTCGAGGACAAAGTCATGGAAAACTTAATCTTACGTAATATATTGTTTAGCCACATTTTAAGTATCTAAAACACCCGACACAGCAATTTTTCTGGAAAAAAGCACAGGTCAACAAGCATTCATGCAAATTGTGAGTGAGTTACCTGAAACGTTCTTCAATGCAATAGACTTCACCCTGCCCCGGCTGTTCCCGGCTACACTGATTGACCTCAGGAAATCTGCCTCGTATGAGCCCGTCAGCAAAGTCAGCACACAATAAGTTTTCCAACGAGCATGCGTAATTATGTGCAGCGGGAAAGACAAAAGTTTTACGTATCAAAACATTTTGCCAAAATTTTGGAGGAAATCTGTTTGCAGAGCTGCTGATCGCTCCCGATTGCCTAGTTACACATGATTAGAAGTTTACTTTAAGTCCTCTGACCTCTCAGGGCCGGTATAAAGTTAAGCAAACAAGGAAATAAACGAAGAACATTAAGCCAAAATGGCGGCTGCAAAGGTGAGATCGTTTTACAACACTTTTTTTCGTACTATTAAACTTAATATTTGTTGATCTCTGCATCTTGTCTCTTAAATCATCCCAGATTTCGAATTTCTTAGCCCTGAGAGTGTGTATAATAGCATTTTGATTCTGCGACGTCCGCGAATTAGGAACGAAATTCACTTTATGTAAAAACACGCATATTTAGATAATTTAATTGAATGTTTGAACAGTTTTGACATCGATCACTCGATCGGCTTTCGTAGTAACTGGGAATGGTATCTTCAATGCGTTCCATGAAGATAATATTTGGTTTGGGAAAAATAAGCTTCCGGTGGCCTTCCATTATGACTTTAAACCATATTTTTTTCCTCACAGGCTGCTAGAAGAAATGCTCTCCTACATAATCTACATATTCCCAATGAACCATTTCAAGATCCGCTGATAGGAAGGTAAAATTCAGATCAGAATTATATTTAATCCATTTGACCTTTAAATGTCCAGAAATGATTTAATTGTAACTTCCAATTACAATTTAATCACAACACACAGCAAACAGGTGAAAAGAATATACAAACATATCAGCTGAAAGGTTTTATCTTAACCTCTTATACTGTAGGATCATACATGTATCTATATTCTCCATATTCCAATCTAACCAGACTTTCTCGCAGGCTAAAAAACACTTGTGTCACAGTGTGAATAACAAGAGCTTATTTATAAACTAGTCTCTAAGTGGGTAATTTAGCATTATTAGCTCTTCAGCCCCTGAGAGTGATAAGTATCTAATTTCTCCCCACACTACCATCCTTGAATCAAATATCACGGTTGTGAGAATAAAGGAAACTATCACAAACTCGACAAGTTCTTGATTATAAGACAAATTGTCCTTCTAGGTACCATAGGAAATGTATAGAGAACAGTATAGAGAACTTGCAGACTGATGTTAGTGTGTAAAGGATTAACTGAGTTGATAACATGAATTGGCCGTCATAAAGAATTTCAAAGCTGATGTTTCAAGAGTTAACTCTTGATCTATTGCTCTAACGAAGGGCTAACACTTAAAAGCAGCTTTCAAACTCTTTATGGTGGCCACTTTACGTTATCAACTCAGCTGATAACACTAAATTACCTTGTTATACTCTCCCATGAATGCAACACCACACTTCCTTTAGTAACTTACCTACTTTGTTCATTAGTCTCAAACTGCATATGGAAATGTCTTTGCGTTGCAATTACATGTTCATGAACAGAGTACATGTATTTTCTCGTTATCTTTGATGTTATTTCTTACAGACGAACTGGTGTTCCTCTGAATATTAAAGCCAGGAAAGATTCATTTGGTTTTGAAAACATTGATGACTATTTTCTATATTCAGGTGGGGCTACATTTGTCAATGGAGAATGTTTTTGTTTACTATGTAAAGAAGCTTTCAAATAGGAAGTGATTCAAAACTTTTGAGATTAATTGAGTGGTTTATGAAGGGATCACAATGAAGTTTGTGTAATGTGTTTTTAATGCAATGAATATGTCTGATGCTTGTTTAGATCCAGAAGAAGAAGAAGAAGAAGTCGTTGCTCCAAATACACAAGGACTGGATAAAGATCTTGTGAAGTATGTACACATACAGGGTGGCTTAAAATTTATGTTTTGGCTAAATTTTATCGATGGTTCATACTTTGTTTTCCTTAATTTGGAATTATTTTCAAACATCAGCAAGTCCAATAAAAAAGGAGAGTTATGTTAGATATAGGATTGTATGGTGAATTCTTGTAGGGAAAATGCCAATCTGCATCCAGAGGAGGATGAAGATGTGTTTGAGAAAGTTGCAGATGACCATCCACTGTCAGGTTTGTTTCTCCTTTTGCACATTCTGTTTGGAAGATTTTTCAATTTTAATAAGTGAATTTCATGACCCTCGTGTGCAATGTAGATCAGGTCCCTGCCCTCCCCTCCCTAACAGATTTCAGGTCCATGTTGGTAATACAACCTGGGTAGTATGGTAACACATTGACCTTAGCAAGTCCTTAAACATGAATCTCATGATCCATAGTAATTCCCTCTACTGTCTGTGATACAATTCTTATGATGTTAGTTCAGAGAATTTGATATTGGATCCACCAATCGTAATTCCCTAATTGACATTAAATGTAGACAAGTGATGAGAATAAAGAAAAATTTTTTCTTTATTCTCATCACTTGTCTGCTTGATGTTGTATTGATATTATAAGGTGCGATTCTTTCTTGGTCACTCATGGGAGTTCTATGGTCAAATGTATTTTGACTGTCTCAGGTGATGATGCTCAACTGAAAAAGTCATCTCCTGAAGAGAGGGATTCAGTGGATAGACTGAAACAGAATATTGGGTCTCCTAATAACACTGGAACTGCAATTAAAAACCCGGCCTCCAGAGAACCAACTCCACGGTTAAGAGGACCAATTAGCAAGAGGTAGGTTTCTGAATGGTGAAAGGGGGGGGATCAATAAACTTAATTCAATAATGACATTTTCATTTGAAAGATCTCAACCTCTATGAGCAGCAGCAGATTTTCCTTTTGATTTAATAATTGAATTTGGCAAATAAGCTTCGTGTGTGCATTTTGTCACTTTTTGTAGGTTGTCATTCATAACTGGGCAATCACCAATTGAATTAAAAGACGATCAAGTACATGCTGGGTAATTCTCATCTAATTGTTTTTTTATTTTTATTGTTAGTTATTTACTTTAGAAACACAACACGTCACAAAGTTTAGGGCTTGCTGTGTTTCTACCCTGACCTGACAAGAAACAATTATTTCTGTCAAGAAACGAGGTCTTCATGGTTTGGAAGAAAATTCAGATTATTGTGCTTGTTTGATAATGGTGACATACATTATATCACTTGGAAGTACTTTATTGCAAGTGCCTACTTGAAAATATCCAATCAGGTGTCAGAAAAAGTGAAAAAACTTAACTGAAACAGCAACAGTAATTATATATTTTATTTTTACAGTTTGCTTGTGTGTCATGAACTTAATTTTGATGAGTCAGTATGTATCTGACCTGTGTAAATCTCTTCAAGGTGATCATGGTTTTGCAAGTTTCACAGTACTTAATGCAATTTGTATTTTTTCTTATTGTATTATTTCTTAGAGATTCATCGGATGACAAATGTGCAAAGACTAGTGGTGAGGAGGTTGGAGATAGTGACACTGAAATTGACGTTGTTAATGAGGATCCACAAATGGTAATAGAGAAAACTGTCGATGAAACTTCTTATAAAAAGAAACCTAAATCATTGAAAAAGACCCCTGCAGTAACAAAAAAGCACAGAATTGAGGCTGATGAAAGTGAAGATGAGGGCATCATTGATATAACAGGAACTGAAGAAGATACTTTTCTAACCATTGGGAATATATCTCGTGCAGCGAAGACCAACACAGCTGTCCATAAATTGCCGCTGCCTGCCCAGGCTGATAGTTTTGTCATGAGTGAGAGTTTTGTGTTGGAAGGAACAAAACACAAGTCTATGTCTCCAGAGTTTGGTTCTAGTTCAGACTGCCAGGATGAGCCAGCAACTAAAGGATATAAATCTCGAATACCTGTGTTAACAAAGGGATATCCAAGCAATAAGGCAGCACTAAAAGGGCCAGTCAAAGGAAAAAAGGCAAATGTGACTAGAGATCCAGAGAGTGTAATGGTTTCAGTGGTGGGACAAGGTGATGACGAGGAGGAAAGAACAGACTTGACAGTTACTGAGAAAGAACAAGCGAGGCCACTGCAGGGGAAACGTACAAGAGGAGGGACGACAAAGAATGTGGAAGAGCCCCATGAACTAAAGACAATAAAGGGAAGGGGAAGAAAAATTGTACCAAATATCACGCATCAGACAAGCAGGGTAACCAGGGGAAGCAAGCAGAAAAATGAAAATGGCAACAAAGACGATGAAGAAGTTGATAATCAAAAGGATGATGGTGGTTTTAAAAAGGCAGCAGTTCGAAAGGGAAAACCAACGAAGGAGAACAAGGGTAAAAAGAAGAAGGAGCAAATAGAAATTGTGGGAAAAGGAACCGAGCAACAAGATGGAGTGGATACAATACAACTCAGGGGAAGGAATATCAGAGGGCAGAGGAAAAGAGGGAAAGATGACAAAGTTCATGAACAGAATGGAAAGGCAGAAGCACTGCAAGTGACAGTTGATGATGAGGACGATGAAAATTTTGAACGTGGAAAGATGGATTTAGGGCGAACAGGGTTGGAGACCGAAGGAACTGGAAGAGACGAGGAATCGTCAGTGGTCCAAAGAAAGGAGATGACCAGTAGGACTAAGAAAAGTGATACCAATCTGACTCAGGGTTTTGGAAATACTGGAGCAAGGAAGTCCAAAGGCATTGCTAGAGTTCAGAAACTGGAAGAAAGAGAAGGGGGTGACGATATGTCGAAGAAAAAGAGAGGAAAACGGGGAAAAGGAAGAAGAAAAGATGAAGAAACTACTGCCAAAGAGGACAGTCGAGTCGTTGACATTGCAGCAGAGTTGGACGAAGCGCAAGATGATGACTTTGAGGAAAATACCAATGAGTTTGAGAAAACAAATGATGTTTCCGTGAGGAGGATGTCCAATGTGTCCAGTAATGTTTCTTCAAGCTCCGAGTCTTCAAAGAAGACGAGCAACGGTGTCGCGAGCAAGCGAAGGAAGGTGTCACGGGTACTACCACCATATGCAAGGAAACGAAGAGCAGGTAAAGCAAACAACTCGAAAGACTCCTCCAAGACGAGCAGTTACGACTCTACTGAACTAAGCGTGGACGCTAAAAAACGAAGATTGCAGGACGAAGCGAATGAAACGAGCACTGCAAAGGATTCCCCGAGAAAGGACACCAAAACAAATGCTGGTAAAACTAGTAGAAATAAACGAGATACGAGGAAATCCGGAGCAAAGAAGAACTCTTTAACAACAGACAACTTTAATGAAAGAGCTGATGTAAATGATTTATCGCAAGGAGTAGAAGACGACAACGGTTTTTTGGACGCTCCAGCTGAACCAGTAACAGCGTTGAAGTCAATTCTTAAATCTGGAGGCAATGTGCGACGATCAACTAAAGGTAATTACACTATTATGTGGAACACTGTAGACTGTAACTTACATCATAGTTAGTGACTGAGTGAGTATGAACAAACAACGTTGATTTTTCTAAACGTTGCTGGTCTTTTTAAAAGTACGGTCAACAGCAGCCTAAATTTTTCTTCCGCGATATTTACAAACACGGAGTCACTCTGTATTGTAAAATTTCTCCCGGTTTGTTCGTTTGTTTGTATGTCTATTACAGGTTCCAGGAAGCGTCAGATGACAATAGGGAAGTCACACTCGGGCGGTAGTGACGCCGATGACGAGAGCCTACAACCTGCCAAGCAGCCAAACAGAAAAAGTCTTTCTTCCGTCAGTTTTGCTTCAACCCCATTCGTTCGTGGATCACCGTCTGTGCCAGCAAACGTTTCCCCTATTAGTCTATCGTTTGCGTCTAAGAACAGCTCTTACAAATCCGCAGATGGGACATTTACCCCCGGAAGTGCTCGAACTGTCAGATCATCTGTGGGTTCTGCCAGTGGCTCCAGTGTTGGTGATAACTCTAAAGTTGATCCTGAAGAGGAGGTCACCATCACAAATGATACCGCGCAACCAGAAGGTGAGTTAAGTCGAATGTTCTCATCGCTTAAATTATCGCTCAGTAATCCTGTAAGGAGACGTGGGGGGGCTGGTGCGTAACGAGCTGGACCCTCGGTGGAGAGATCTGTGTTCGAGCCCTGTCCCAGTCAGTTTGATATGTTCTCTCAGAGTGCTTCTCTCTTCCCAAGAGTGTAAAAGGAGACAGGCAAACTGCTACAGAACTTGATGAATTCTGCCCAGGTGGAATAACGATACTCCCAGTCGCTTCATGTTACGAAAAAAGGAAAAGCTCCAGACTGGCTAAGAAAAATTTTATTTACGTATTGTTTTCGCAGTTTCTCCTAATGAACAGCATACTAGGAGAAGCAAACGCACCATCGTGCCGCCTCTTCAATACTGGAAAAACGAGCGAATAGATTATGAGCGACGAAAATCAGGTACCGTTAACTTAATTGAGAATCTTTTTTTAAATAAATTTTAGCTCCAGGTGTGTTGATAAAACTACATTAGCTCCTGTAGAGTGACGGACAGCAACCGCCGTCGAATCAAGTTTAGAGCCATCACAACCCGACCAATCACAAGATACTTTGGTTCAAATGAGCCTTATGATTGGTTGAGTTGTTGTAACCTCATTTCTTTCCATTCCAACCAATCACAGGCCTGGAAAAAGGAAGGAGAGCCCTCATCCATAGTAACAAAAAGAAGCGATTCGAGGTAACTGATGATGATTTGTTTTTCTTTGTTAGGTGGCTGGTGCATAAAGGGCGTTATAAAAAATCCAACTCCAACACCAAAGTACAGGAAGAAGCGGAAACAAACAGTGAAACTTT